GCATAGTGGCTAAAGCACTTGACTGCTAACCAGAAGGCTGGTGGTTCAAACCCACCGGCCACTCCTCGGAAGGAAGGTTGGGCAATCCTACTTCCTTAGTGATACTGCCTCGGAAACCCAAGGAGGGGTCGGAAACCCAAGGAGGGGTCGCTATGAGTCGGGGCCGACTCGATGGCACATAACAACAACAACAAATAGGGAATGTTGTCTGAGGGCTCAGCCCTCTCTGTTCCCTAACATTTGTTTTTCAATAGGGTCTTTCTTCCTCACTTGACTGCCTCTATGAAGCAGGAGCCATAAGTCTTCGTCTCTTGCAAATGCAGAAACCAGAAAGAGACAGAAAGATTCTAGACTTTTAGGGCCAGAAGGGATCTGAAAGGGCATTTCCAATTTGGGGAGGGAAAAGACCCCTCCTAGGTCACCTGTTTGGTGACTTGCTTAGTCAGGGGCAGAGGCCAGACTGAATCTAGGCCTCCTGACTCCCAGGTTATATTCCTTTAGCTGCACCATATTGCCATGAAGGACCTGCCACTTCTCAAAGCCAGGGACCCAGAGACACCTATGTTCCCAACTACTAGTTACTTCTAAGACAAATACAAAACTTTCCATCTTTTTTGCCGGGAAATGCCCCTCACTGAGGGCTGGGGCTCACCTGGGGAACCCACTTGGGAGACACAAAGCTGGTAGCTTCTATAACGGGGAGTCCCACCTCAGAAAGCATGTCTATCAGCTTAATTTTCACTGGAGTAGGTACAATATTCTGTAACAGAGAGAGAAACATCAGAAAAAAGACAGGTCAGTAAAGTTGGGGTTAAAAATGGCCTCAGAATATAGTGCCTGTCAGTTCAAAGCCTCTAAGCCATACACTACAGCAAGCACCTCACTGTCTCCTCAATTTCTTAGCAGTAACATGCAGTCACATGGAATTCCTGCCAACAGTGTGGCTCGAGGCCTGTCTTCAAGTTCAACTGATAGCATTTTGTAGCAGAGGGAGCTTCTCACCTGAAAAAGAGTTAATATTCTCATAGAAATAATCTTTTTCTGCCATACAGACCTTTCCTTAACTGTGTGTTAATTTATGGCTCAGCATAATCAAATTGAGAGCTGTGGCCTCAAAGGGCAAAGACAGGACCTAACCTCTGGGTTCTCTGGAATGTCACTCCCAAAGTCTCCCATCTTTCTCTTTTCCCTTTCCCCCTTTGCTGGGACCTCATCTTCACACGTTTAGGCTATGGGTTCTCTCTCTCCCTCCTCAACCACATCCAGTCACCCACCAGTCTTTCTAAATCTACCACCATTCGCCTGAGTATAATGTGGCAAAAGAGGTCTAGCTGATCTCAGCACCTCCTAAGACCTCACTCCCCCAACTCACGCCACACAGGGATCCTCCTAAAAGGCAGTCTGTGGTCATGCTCTTGGGCTCAAAGCCTTTCAGGACTCCCTAGTACCTGCAGGATCAAGTCAAACTTCCTAAGAACTCCAGGTCCTTCTCACCAGGTCATCACACCCTCTCTGTCTGTCCCCAATTTCCTTCCCATTGTTTTAACTTAATCCATTCCACAAATAAGTTTTGAGAGACCTTCGTGTTCTAGGCATTGTGTTAGGTGCTGGGAATACAGAAGTGAGCAGAACAGACATGGTTCTGCCCTCATGGGGCTGACAGTTCATTGTTTCCAACAATCTATGCTGGTTATGTTTAAACTGTTAAATCTATGCTGGTCATGATGAGATGTTTCAAAAAAAAGAAAAGTTTTTATTTAAAAAATAATTCATATATGATCATTTCAGAAAAACATGCCCAAAACAAGAAAAGCATCTTAAAATCTCCTAAAGACAGGGGGAAGGGAGAGTTTTTGTTTTGGGGGCTCTGAGTTTGTGCTAAATCTGTTGCCGTGGAGTAGATCCCAACTCATACTACAGGACAGCTTGTTACAAAGTTGGCACTCATTAAAACATTATTGAAACAACATGAAGGGCATAGCTCCCAGAGGAAAGTAATTACTGGGTGTGGGGAGACATAGTCTTGAACATTGTGTGTAGGGGGAGACTCTGTTCTATCATAAGCTGGGTGATGACAAGGAGAATAGGCCTGAGGGGAGATGACAACCGTACAAGACATTAAAAAAAAAAACCATAAGGTTTCCAAGGATGTAATCTTTACAGAAACGGACTGCCACGTCTTCCTCTTGCAGAGCAGTTGGTGGGTTTGAACTGCCAATTTAGAATGTTTTGGATGAGGAGAGCGATTGTGGTGGCACAACATAAAAAACATCATCAAGGCCACTGAGTTGCACGTGTGCAAGTTACTGTGTTGGCAGATGTTTTGGTGTGTATATTTACACCACTGTAAAGAGAAAAACAAAAACCAAAACCTCCCACAGAACACTATTCACACTTTGGTATGTAACTTTCTAGGTCTGTGCAGTCCAATGTAACAGCCACTAGCCATCTGTGGTTATTTAAATTGAAATCCATTGAAATAAAAAAAAAAAATGAAAATGCAGTTTCTAATCTACACATGCCACATTTCAAGTGCTCAACAGGTACATGTGCCCGGTGGCTACCAGCTGGGCAGTGCAGGGCTGGAACACTTTCATTATGGCAGTTCTATCGGGCAATGCTGAGCCTTCTCCCACACATATATTAACTTTTTTGTTTCTTACACAACTAAAATTTATATATATACTTACTGTTTTATAACCTGCCTGAGAAACTTAATATGCAACTGCATTATTAACAGCTTCACAATGTTCCACTTTATGAAAAGTCTATAATGTATTTGACCTAACCCTCCCCACACTGAACATCTGAGTTGTTTCTAACTGTTCTGTTACTAAGCAGCAGGGTAGTGAGGAACATCCCTAATGCATCTGTGTATGGGGCTATCAGGACTTCCTCTGGATAAATTCTCCTTTCTGGAACTTCTAGATCAAAAGGTGCACCCACTTTCCAGTTGTATACATTTTCCCATACACTTTGCTGATGCCCTACACCTGAAATGCTTTTTCCTCACTCTACCTATTCAAACCCTATCCTTCTTCACCTACATTCTGTACTCCCATAGCACTACCCTCCAACCCGCTAGCCTGGGCCTTGGGATGGACCTGGTGACACCATACACGTTGCATGGCTGTCTTATATCCTCTGTCATAGGTGCCTGCCTGGCCTCCCCAACCCCACCCTAAGTTCTTCCAAAGTAGTGATCCTGTCCTGCATAGCTCTGTCCATTTCTGCTGCACTACACCTACCACATGGACATGCAAAGCGGATGCTTCAAAAGCCTCTTTTGGTTTTATTCCATTTTTACCTTTTCATTTTGTAGTCCATCTCGGGGACCAACTTCCACAATTTTCACCTGCTTTGGGAGAGTGCTCACAGCTGAGGTGCTGACCTTCAGTTTAAAAGAGGAAACAAAAGTAACAGGAAGTGACTGTCATATTTCTCTAAGGAACACGAATCTGGAAGACTAGCTCCCTCTTCACCAATACTGAGACAAGAAACACTATTTCTCACCAGTGTAATTCACATTTGGTAATTTAAAATTAAGAATAAAGAGTATGTCACTCTAGAAACAGGAATGAGTGGGACAGCCGTGCTCCCAGTACAGGTTGCCCTGGAACTGAGATTCATATTTCCAAATGCTGGTGGAGGAGGTGTGACAGCTCCATTGCACCTCTTGTAAGCATCTAAAACTCAGCAGACCCCAAAACCGACTCTTCAATTTCTACCAAACCCCAGTCTGACTCCACTGAGTCTCCACTGAGTGACTCAGTAACAGCCATCACCTTGCACCTCATTGCTTAAGCCACACACCTGCCTCCTCCCCTTCCCTCATTCACTGTGACCTATAAAGTTCGACATGATTCAGCTTCCGCCCACCTCAGCTACCTTATCACTTGCTCCTACTGCTCACTCCTTCCTCCCGTGGGGTCTCCTTTCTCCCACAGCAGGGCCTCTATGTACTGTGCCCACTGCCTGGAATGCTTCTCACATGCATCTTCTTATCTGTTTCCTCTTGTCCTTCAGTCTCAGAGGGGTCTCCTCTGACTGCCCTTGAAAAGCAGCTCCTGCCTGATTATTCTCTATTTCAGGACAGTTAACATGCTCAGCTGCTACCAGGAAGTTTGGAGGTTCAAGTCCATTCAGAGGTGCCTTGGAAGAAAGGCCTGGTGATCTACTTTAGAAAAATCAGCCATTGAAGACCCTATGGCGCACAGTTCTATTCTGACACAAATGGGGTCTCCATGACTTGGAATTGACTTAGTGGCAACTTTTTTTTTTTTCCAAATGAATCAGCTGGAATTTGAACAACTCACTTGAACTAGCCTTGGTTTTAGCCAGCAAAGTTTCCTAGAGACCAGGGTGTTGGCCCATTGAATTTCATGAAGTTACCAACTAAGTTGCAAGATCACTGCAATGTGAATCTCCTGCCAACAGGGATGTTCAGCCTCTGCTGGTACATTACCCTAGAATTATCCCACTGAAATGTAAGCTTCATTCTGAAGGCAGGGATCTTGTTTTATTCACTGCTGTGTCTCCAAGGCCCTGGGACACTATAGGGGTTCAAAAAATACCTACTGAATATTGTTGAGAGAGGTAACATCTACTTCCAAGTTCTTTTTATCTGATTAGAATAAACTCATTTCCTCCTTTCCCATAACAGCCCATCATATAACAACAAAAAAAGAGACAACTCCTATTTATCAGGCACTTAATATTTATCATATAAACCTTATCATCCTCTCAACAACTTTTTCAGATAGGAACTAGTGTAATCCCTATTTTACTATGAGTCTGTGAGGAATCTGAGGCTCAAAGAGATAAAGTAACTTCCTAAGGTCTCAGGGCTAGCAAGGCACTAAGCCAAAATCAGGACCTGGCAGCACTGCTCTGAGTGCTCCTAACTCCTAGGCCATGCGGCCTCTCTGCTACCCTTCAGTCCCCTAGCCTTCTGTTCCGTAAACTACCCAGTTCCTGCCCTCTGTATTTCTGCTTAGAGATGATCCTCCCTGAACACACAAGTCTTATGCCACAGTGTCCTATGCTATGGTGTACCAACATCATCATCAACAGTGACTATCAACTAAAGCCCAGTATTACCTACAGGTGTCAGTACCTCGTTTAATCCTAACAACCTTATGTGGCAGGGACTATCATTATCCCAACTCAATGGAGGAATAAACAGGGCCTTAGAAAGATGACCCAAAATCACAGCTAGGAAGTGACTTGAATCCAGGTCTGGTTCTAATACCAAGATTATGCTAGTACCCCCATGGGGAACCTATCACCACCCATCTCATTAAACAGGAATTTTTTTTTTTTAAAGTACACTGATACCCACCATCTCGTGATTTTCTATAACTCTTCAAGATGGAATTGTCAGCCATCCCATTACTAGGTATATACCCTAAAGAAGTGAGAGCCATAACAAGAACAGATATATGCACGCCGATGTTCATCGCAGCACTATTTACAATAGCCAAAACTTGGAAACAACCTAGATGTCCAACAACTGAGGAATGGATAACCAAACTTTGGTACATTC